CTGCTGATTTTTTTTTTTTTTTTTGATAAAGGTAATATTTGTATATCAATCATCAGCTCAAAGCTGGTATCCAAAAATTTACATCATATCCTCCCTCCACACGTGTGTCGGGCATAAACAAAAGATAAAGAAAAGAAAAGAAGAAAAAAGAGAACTATCCCTAGATCCTCCTTTCACCTTTCTGCTGATGTTTAACTAGCTGGGTAAAACTTATACATTAAATTTTTTATTTGTTTCACTCAGATCCAGATATCAACAGCAGAAACAATCATCCTGAGGCCATGCAAAGGCTTGCTGAGAGGCAACTTGGGGCTCCTAAGCAGATCCACCCTTTTGCTGGTGGCAATGTCCAGGGGATGTACAATCACGAGCTTGACATGGGATTGCGATACAGATAGTTGATCAGGGAGCGAGTCAGTAGCAACATTTGCAACTGGGTACCATGTTTTCTTTTCCCGGTTTGACTGAGAATCCGCTGTTACAACTTTACCATGTTGTACTGCCTTTACCATCGAACCAAAGAATTGGAAACCATGTTGGCCTTCTGCTTTTTTGCATGAGGGGCAGACATATACACTCATGGGAAGTGGTGTAATTTTAGATTTTATTTTCTTGTACTTGGTAGGGTTTAGGGTCTCATCTTGTGCATGCATGGTTCAATTATTTTGCCTTTCATATGCCCCTTCTTCTGAAGTTCCCCTTGCAGTTTTTTTTTTTTTGGTTTCACATTTGGTGTCTGATACCCTCGAATCCAGATTCGCGCTGGAAAGTTTCAAGTGCTCCCTAACAAAGGCGACTTTGTATCCAGAGGGACTCGTACTCGAGACCTCTCATTAAGGATGAAGGAATACTTACCACTCCACCCAACCCTTGCTGGTCCCCTACTCCCCTTGCAGATTCTTGTGTAGTAGTAGCATCAATTTGACTATTGTATTTCTGATCTCGTATTATCCCAAAATGAATATGCATGCCACACGCAAAGGTCTAATGTTTCACATGTACACAAGGTACCCTCCTTCCTAAATGTTTGGTACGCGGAATGGGATAAACAAGGATATTCAATGAGATTATTTTATCCCACCTATATGGGAAGGACTAAGGAGGGTACCCTGTGAACATTAGATCTTTGGTGTGGCATGCATATTCATTTTGGGATGATTGAGATTAGTATATAGTAATCTCAATATTTTAGTACAAATCATGGGATAAAATAATTTCAGGATTATTATTTTTATCCGACGTACAAAGTAACCTTCATTGTTATTTTCCCGGCCCCATGGGGAGAGTTTATTTAACCCATTTCCTACTTTTTCACACTCTAGTGTGCTACTCCGTATGAGATCCCCCTTCTCTTCTGCCATATTAGCTTAGACAGGAGTTTGTAAGATGCCCATGTAAAAAACCAGAAGTATCATATTGCCATCAGTAACTAGAAATCACTTCATTTAATCAAATTAGCAGCATGAGACAAATTTTTTTTATCTTCAAAGATAAAGCAAAACAATTGCCTAGATAAAAAAAATGAATCTTTACTATTATTTTGATTCTGATAATGAAATTTTGATTACATGATGTTATGGTGTTGGATTTTGATGATGATGAAGACATAATCCAGATCCAACTTTAGTTTAACTGCACTTTTTTACTTTTCAATTAGTTGTAAATATTTTGTCACACACTATTTTTTGTTTGCTTATATTTGTGTTTTGATTTTTAAATTCAAAAACAAAGATGTACCCCGCAAGGAAAATATTTGCTACGAGGGATCCTTTTACCCAAACATTCTGCATTTCACTTTTAGAAATTTGTATCTTCTCAATATAAAACTAATGATAATTTAATTTTTTTTAATATTTATATTGTAAAGTTATAGGATGGAATCTATTTAATTTAATTTATTTTTTTGTAACTGTGCTCTTTGGATAATTCTTAATTAGATAGAACTGAAATTAGGCTTTTTGGTAGAGGTGTTCAAAAGAAACCAGCAAACCACACCAAATCAATAAATCAAGAAACAATTTGACTAGTGGTTTTGTATTGAATTTTTCTGACATAATTAATTTGATTTAATATTAACTAAGGAGTCAAAAATATTTAATCAAAATCAAATCGATATTAAATTTATATAAATAATAGAAATATTTATTATAACTCGTGAGTATCTCTTAAACTTTTTCATAATTTATATTTCTTAATACATTATTTCAAGTTTGAAATGACAAATCACATAAATGTCCTTTTTTAGGGTGATCTTCAATTTTTGTCCCTCAATGTGGTGGTCTATAATTTTTGTCCTTCAACATTTTAAGTTACAAGAAAATGACCAGAAATACCTCCAACGTCGAAAACAAAAAAATTGCAAAGGCAAAAGTTCATATTTTCATAGTTATGTATAGCTTGTCCTTAAATTTCACTTGAGAGTTACCGACTTACTCCTCACAAATTTATCGCTTAAAAACTCCTAGCTCCATTTGTTTGTTTTGTTTTTTCATAAGAGCTTGATTTGGTTTGCATTGGGATTATTAGTGTAAAAAGTCTTTTTATGATGATCTTTGTACAATTTGCACGCACATCTATTATTCTACCCAAACCTACTTTGCATCAAAGACCTTGAAGCTAAGTAAGGAGAGGATAAAGCTCTTTGAAGGACTCTATCTACGTAGTAATAGTAAGTAGTAGCAGGAAGGGCCGAGCGCTTACTTTTCAATAATCAATAAACTAGAGTAGGCTTGATAGACTTGCAATAGCGATTCTTAGAGTTAATGTTACAACGCATCAACCAGCCAACAAATACTCATTTGGTTGCCTCAAATAAAGATGAAAACACCTCTATATCCTTAATATTGTTTTCTTAATCCTGAACAGAAATTGCGCATACATGTATATAACAAAGAACATCACAAGCTAGAGAATCACCTGCTCATTCATTTGCAGTAGCATCCTCAGATGGGGCATTATTTCCATCTAGAAGAGGGAGATAAAGACAGTAAGTCTTACAACGCTTCGTTGATGGATCATGAAAAATTAACAGTAAGTCGAATTTGACAGTTACACAACCTTCTCCAGCCCTTAAAACTTTGTTGTAAATCCTCGAATCATGTCCATACTTCTCGAAAGATTAAGTTAATTTCAAGGATCAAATTGAAGGGGGAGAACAGAAAGAAAAATACCTTCACCCTCAGATGGAGCACAAGGAGACTTGCGGTATCGGGATTGTTGCTGTGTTGGCTAAATTAAGAAAATTCAGAAGAAATGTCAGAATGATAACGCTCACAAAGCAAATGGTAAACACTTGTAGAATCAAACACGGTCTACATGGAGGTCATGTCGCTCCTCATCCATCATAAGTTTCAATGAATTACATTTTATACATCCAAAATTCAAAAACAAAATAAATATTGAACAGTTGTTAGAGCCTGACGCCAAATATAACATGTTAACAATCATGTTGTTCTACATTGTCAAGGCCTCTCTAACATCAGGTATAGATATCTTCTATATACATACTAGCTTTATGTAGAAGATACAGTTGCTTCTTATGAAAATCGAAACAAACAACAACATACAAGTGGGGCTGGGGGAAGGTGGTGTTTACGCAGCCTTACCCCTACCTTGTGAAGGGAGAAGCTGTTTCCGATAGACACTCGGCTCAAGTAAGCTTAGTAAAATCAAGTATAAAAAGGGAAATACAACAGTGAGGCAGTCTAGTCTTGCTGAACGTAATGGAGAAGAGAACAATAACAACAACACATAAGACGATAACTAAAGTAAAGAAAACAACAAGTAATAATAAAATCGAAGAACAAGATAGTATGTGAGTAATAATAATAAATAATAATACTAATAAGGGAAACTAGACAACGCTTGACTACCTTTTAATAGTCTACCCTAATCCTCATATCTAGGGTCATGTCCTATCTAATCATCTTCGTCCAGTACTTCTTCGACCTACCTCTACCTCTACTCTCCTCATACCCACCATATCCAACTTCTCACACCTCCTTATTGAGGCATCTGTGCATCTCTTTTTCACATGCCGAACCTTTCCTTTCTTTTGTAGCGCTTTCTGAGTGAGGCAAACCCTCTTCACTACCAACCAAGTAAAGCATTTCACCTTGGTAGGATTCTGACCTTTCCAGATATAATCCCATTGATATTGCTGGCTCCCATTAAGATTATTAATTTCTCTTTTGTAAGCACTCTTGACAGAGTGTTTCAACCATCTTTCTCATGCTTCCAAATAATTCTATCTGAATATGTTGTAAAGCCACTGAACCCCTCAAGTTCCCCAGTAATGAAGCCGCATTTTCCACTTCCCAATCAGTTAGAAAACTTCTGAAAGGATGGATGCCACCGTTGAGGGGACCAGCATTCACCTACTCTAGCCTCTGGATTGTTGCAAATGTTGAACAAATCTGGAAAAGACTCTAGAAGGGGAGAATGGTCTATCCCGCCTTCCTTTCAAAATTTAATCTTGTTACCATTTCCACCAACCTTCAGGTTAAGATTTGGCTCCATCATAGGCAACAAGGCCCTAATGGTTTTCCAAACACCTACTCCATAAAGATCAGTGACTGTCTCTGTACACCAAAAACTTGCTTCCCTAAGCTTTGCTTTAGTTACCTCCTTCCGTAAAGCTTGCTCCTCACCATTATATCTCCAAACTCCAAAGCCACTTCATCAGTAGGCTGTTACCCTGTAATCTAGGGTTTCTGATGCCCAATCCACCCTTCTTGCTAAGTGAAACAGTTTGCCACTTTACCAAGCAGTACCCCTCCCCTTCTTTGCATCTTTGCCATAGAAAATTTCTCCTCAATGAGTCCAATAATTTTAACAACTTTGGATGATATACGGAACAATGACATCACATAATAGGAAGAGAATCTAAAACAGAATTTATTAGATAAGTCTACCCCCAGGCCCCAAGTGATAAGTATTGTGTTTTCTACCTAGCTAGCTTATTCTTTGTTTTCTCCACTATCCCATCTCAGATCTCCTCTGCTTTGTGTTTGCTTCCCAATGGCATACCAAGATAAGTGGTTGGCATGTTCCCCACTCTGCAGCCTAGAATATTTGCCAATTGATGAATCTGAGTTACCTCCTTGATAGGAAAGAGGCTGCTTTTATCCCAGTTGACCTGCAAACCTGCTGTTGCTTCAAATACCAGTAGCATCACTCTAATGTGACATATCTGCTCAAGCTTTGGCTCACAAAGATTATTCTGTCATCTGCATACAACAAGTGACTGATCTCCATATCTTCCCCATTCATGCCACCAATTTGAAACCCTCTAATCCACCTGTTGCTTACTGCAATTCTCATCATGCTATCAAATCCTTCCATGGCCATAATGAAGAGAAAGGGAGACACGGGGTCATCTTGTCTACGTCTGATTGAAAGAAAATTGTAGGTTCTCCGTTAATGAGGGCATAGAACCTTACAGTCTTAGCACAAAAACTAATCTAGTTCAACCATTTGTTCCCAAATCCCATAAGTCTAAGGATGCTCATAAGGAATTCCCAATTTACATGACCATAAGCTTTCTTTATGTCTAATTTACACATAAGACCAACCTCTTCCCCTGTCGGCATGTAATCCACACATTCACTGGCTATGAGAATGGCATCCATAATTTGCTTTTCTTCAATAAATGCCATTTGATGCTTGTTTACCAGTTTGTTCAATACTTTTTTCAACCTTTCTGCCAATAGCTTTGCAATAATCTTATACACTCCAACCAAATTGATTGGTCTGAAGTCCTTCAGTTCCAAAGTCCCTATCTTCTTGGAATCAATGCTATGAAAGTAGCGTTGAAGCTTTTTTCAAAGACCTGATGTGTGTGAAAGTGCTGAATAGTGTTTATGATATCTTATGCTATCATTGATATTTTAGACTCATTATAGGGATAGGACAGTGCCTTTAGAGTTCATTATGTAAATATGGTTTCAGTACAACCCATGTACTGATTTAAAGAAATAGAAACAGTTACCGATCTCAAAAAAAATAAAAAAATATCTTACTTTACTAATTCTAGAAGGATAGAGAGAAGCTCATAGGATACCCATCTGGCCCAGGGGCCTTCCCCATAGAATAAAGAGTTTGATACACTCAACTCTCCACTTCAAATGGTCTCGGCAACTAGATCTGTTCTTCATTTGAGATGATTGGACTATTATGCAATTGAAACTCAGGTCTCCACATTTCAGGCTCCTTGTATGGATTCTGATAAAAATTCTGGATTGCCATCTTGATTTCACCAGGGTCAGTAATTGAATTCCCTTCAATTTCCAAGAGATCAATGTAATTAAGCTACTCACAAGTTAACTAAATAAGTTACCTATTTAGGGTGTGTTTGGATTGGCTTATTTTAAGTGACTTAAAGTTGAAAGCTAAAATCCATAATTATGAGCTGCAACAATTCTATGGCTATATTTGGTATGCATGTCTCCATGCTTCAACCATTGTACCGTAGATCTCTATTTCCAGGCTCTCTTTTCATTCTTTGCCACTTGCTCAAATTCCATAATTTAAGTGTGTTTTCTAGAGTAGTTCATCATTAGAGAGGTTTCTCTGTTCTTGAATTGCTTCCCAACTAGAGAATTGGTTTAGAATGTCCTCCTTTCTCTATTTCAAGTTCCCTCTGTTGTTCTTACTCCACTCGTTCAACTTTCCTTTTAGCATTTTTAGTTTTTCACCCAAAACATAGCCAGGCCTTCCCTTTACAGAGAATCATCTCCACTACCCAGTAGCACTCTCTCTGAATCCCTCAACTTCCATCTACCATGTTTCAAATTTACAATATGATTTTTTTCAGCTCCCAATCTCCACAAGTCTGCAAGATTGGGTTATGATCTGACCCGAGTTTTGGTAGTAAGCTTTGCTTAATGTGTAGAAAGTTTTCCTCCCATTATGCACAATGAAGAAACCTTTCTATCCTGGAAGCAATTCTGTGGTTGTCGCCTTTTCTCCAAGTAAAAGAACCTCCAAATAAAAGAGGGTCTAACAGTTCAAGCTCTTCAATGCAGGATGAAAATTCTGCCATTGCCCCATTACTCCTATAACTGTGTGTTCTTTCTATGGGATACTTGATGACATTAAAGTCCCTACAGACAACCCAAGGCCCATTGAGAGAGCTTCTAACATCAGTCAACTCATCCCATTACACTCTTCTTATCTCTCTGTTGTAATCAGCATATACTGTACAGAGGATTCAAGTAAGATATTCATTAACCCTTGGAATTTGCTTGTAATACACTAGAGCCACTCTCCATCAATTCATAAGTCCACTCTTTTATATTAGAGAATCAAAATTCGCCCCTACTTCCCACTGCCTCCTTATGCATTTCCCCAACCCATTTGTTACTCCAAATGCTCTGCAAGATACTATCTACTGGCCTTTCTATCTTAGTCTCCACTAAAACATAGACATCTGCCCCTCATTGGTGAATTAGATTTCTGACAAGATCCCGTTTACACTCAATATTAAGCCCCCTAACATTCCAAGAGATCATTTTTGCTTTCATTGTTGAAAGTGTTAGATTTCTCCCTCTGGACCTAGGTTTCCCATCCTTCAGTTTCATATAAAAAATCAGGTTCCTAGCCTCTTCTGAAATTGCAGAATTGTTGTCGTTGGTATTAGACTTAACCCGTTTCAACTCCTCCTTTTCTCTCCTTTGATCTAGTTTCATAAGCAAACTCTTTCTCACACCTCTAGAAACTGGCTCCAAATTGTTTGCCCAGTTTGATCATATTTTATTGAGCTCATAAGTTTGCTTTTCAGGTATGTCTGCTATATCTAGGCTATCATCAATTTGTGAAGGTCTCGGCTCAGCATAGACCACAATGGGGCTGGTTCAGTCTTCCTACCCAGTGCGGCAACAATCAACTCCTGATTGTCATCACTTTTAGTGCAAATTCTCCTTTCGTCATATCTTTCCCTTTTCCATATATACTCAAGTTTGACCTCCCCAATACAACAACGTTATCCCTTTTTGTCTCTGCTGCAATAGTGACACCTCGAGAAGGACTATCATCTACCTCTTTTCTCCTGTAGGCCACTGGCGCTTCAATCCATACTGAAAGTTTGCAGATGAAACTGCCGTCAGAAACTTCGATCAACGAAGGGATCTTTTCTTTGGGACCACTAACCCTAATATGAGCCCATCTCAGATGATTTTTCAATTCTGTTTCTTCTTCATTCTCCAACAAACCCCCACATACTTTCCCTATCATCTTCATAACCTCTTTGCTCCAAAGCTGAAGTGGAAGACCTAGAACTCTAACCCGAAACTAATCAAACCTTGTGTCTTCTGGGAGGGCTCCTTTGGTCAGCGACCACCAATCTAGCTTCAGCTTTACTCGCTGACTCCACCATTCTCCCACAAGAGTATGTTCTGCCAAATTCCTTGACTGGAACTCGAATAGGAATTGGATCCCATCCATGTCGTATACCCGAGTGTTTGGGGTGCCCTTCCAAATTTGCTGAGCCCACCTCCTAACATACATCGAGTGGGTACTTCATCACCACCGCAGAATCTTCCAACCAGACACCTACTCACCTACTCGTTACTTTATTCACGTGTCCAAGTTGTGCAAAGCCACTGAATCAAGCTCATTTCGGAATTCCTCATCTCCATTTTATGATCTCTCATATCTGAATCTGTCTGTATTATCTTCTTCTGAATTTTGTGGGGTTGCTCTTTCTTTCTGCCATTCTACTTGCTCCACATGTTTATTCGTTGTCAAAAAGAAATTTCACTGTCTGTTTTGTTGTATTTTTTATTTTCACTTTTCATTTTCTCGAAATTACGTGTCTCCTCTCAATGGCTCTCCTTGAGTTGGTGTTTGACTTCAGGAGTCTGATTTACAGTTTTAGGTAACGTGTCAGCCATTAACAAATTTGCTGTCTTTATCAGCTACTGTTTGTACCAGACTAACTGCATCTAAAGCTGATATAGTAAAACTGATTGTATTCACGAGGGAATAAAGACCCACCTCATCCATTTTTTAAGGATATGGAGAACTCGGAATCTGTACTAGTTCAAATTTACGTACTTGAATTATGTATTCCAATGTCTTGATTCAGGGACTTTACAAGGCATGAAGAAATTTGGTCCGAAAATTCCTCTAGCATAATCTATTGCTTCTACAAAAGTATTAAAATCCTTTAAAAGAGGTTTTTCCTCGTCTTTTTTTTTTTTACCAAGTAAGGTTTTCATTGATAATGACAAGGTCACTTGGCTGTATACAAGAGATATACCAAAAAAGAGAGACCTACAGAATATGATTCTCTCCAAAAGACATCCAATCCTCTATACACACCAAAAGAAAATAAGGGATCGGAGACTACTCCTCAATTGAGCAGAGTTCATCTCCACTCCTTCAAAAGCTCTCATATTTCTCCCTGTCCAAATGACCCACATAAGAGCTAGAGGAGTAACATTCCATGCCTTGTGTATTCTTCTCCTAGCTCCATTCTTTCAACTGAACATCAACTCCTTCACAGATTTAGGAATTACCCAAGTGACGCCAGACCATGTAACATATCCTCCCATAACCTCGTGACTAGTTTGCAAAGTAACAAAATATGATACATATCCTCACCAGTCTCCTTACATAGGAAACACAACCTTTCGGTTCCTAAAGGTTATCTGCCGTCAAAATCACCCCTCTAGTAGCTAACCACATGAAGAAGCACATCTTCCTCAGCACCTTTTGGTATCCATACCGCACAATATGGAAAAATAACCTCCATGTACACCAGAAGCTTCTCATAGAAGGACTTGACAGAAAACACTTAGTCATTCCCCAACTCCCACTCAAAGCATCAGGTCTGTCAACTGACTCACATTGCTTTTGGGGTAAATTTAGCAATCTCTGAAGCTCGGTCACCTTCCAGTCCTAGAAATTCCTCCTAAACCTCAAATCCCAAAAAGTTTCATCCCCTTGCGTCCCCCTAACTTGTTGACAGATAATTCCCTTTGGCATGAAACCCTATACAATACTGGGTATTCATCCTTAAGCCTCAAGCTTCTGCACCACTTTTGCCCCCCAAATTTTTTCTGTCTTTAATAGATTCTACTGCTTCTATCCGTGTTCTAAAGGTACATTTGTTTTGCCATGCATTACTATCTAAAACTAAAAGTTTTTTTCTTTACTTTTTGCAGTAAAATACTCACATACAATGCGTTCATGCATGCTATAGCAAATTTTTTATCTCAATGATTTTTACAATAGGAAATTCAAAGATTGTCTTTCTCCTGTGGCTGCAATTGGGCACTATGAATCTTTGACAAGAAGCGTATCATAACGTGAGGATACAGGTAGGGCTAGACAAATGGAATGGCTGCAGGACTTTAAAAGAAGAGTTCCAAATGATATTTGAATTTGCTACTAGTATTTAATCCAAATGCCTCAGTAAATCAGGTAAAGGAAAACAATTACTGGAACATTAACTTCAGGAGACAATGCCATTACTTCATAGCTTTAACTGATGAAGCGATGTCGTGTAGCATTGACCAACCCAAAAGAAAAAACAACCTACCAAACAATGTACTTTAAGGGCTCAAATTTGCAGCAGAATGACTAAAGAATGGTTAACAAAAGCAACTCTATGCGAAAAGAGGTGGAATGGAATTGACGTAATACCTGCAACTTTGGCCGAAGTGCCTCAAGTGGCCCTTTAGGCTTCTCTACGCCTTGCTGTGATCATGAACCATATTAAGGGTTAGGTGATAACCATAATATAAGCATCAACTGTAACGAAATTGTGAGACTACAAAGTGGACCAGTACCTTTCCAAGAGCCCAATCAGCAGAATCAAAATAAGCACGCTCATGATCCTGACAGCAAATACGGGTTACTTAAAACAGAGAGAACTTGACCAAACACTGCGGACATTCAAAGCACAAGCAATGTAGCACATGGTAATGCCACTTGGTCCACTACCTTAGAGATTAGAAGTGGTTTCTTAGGCATGATTCCTCCATATTTATTTTTAACAACTTCCTCCTGTAATAACAAAAATGGTAAATATATATCCAAAGCTCTGCACTACAATTTAAATATAAAACGATAAGCAAAAATCTTAATGTGAACGCAACTTCCTGTTTGGAAGATGGCATTGAATTTTCTGCTCCATCTATTTGGTCTTTGACATCCCTCATCTCTGACAAACTTCTAATGACCTAGTTTACAGCTGCAATTGCCAGGTAAACAACAACAACATACCCAGTGAAATCCCACAAAGTGGGGTCTAGAAAGGATAGAGTGTACACGTACCTTACCCCTACCTCGTGGAGGTAGAGAGGTTGTTTCTGAAAGACCTTCGGCTCAAGTGAAGCAAAACAAATTAGTAATGAAAAGGAAAAACAACAGTGAACAAAACATAGCAACTAATGGAACTCATATAGGGAAAATGTAAAATGAAAGGAAGGCATTAAAAATAAGCTAGATACAGTTGATTGAATAATTCCAATTCCTCTATTCGCCAAAAGCAGCCCTTGAATAGCCAAGCATTCAAAATAGAGTGAAGTTGCAAGATACCAGCTGCCACATAACAGAAAAAGAACAAGAAAACTCTTAACATTGATTTAGAATTGTAACTAATTAAGCTAATCAACAAGGGTATCATCATCTGCATCTGGAGATTGAGAGGAGCATCCTTTTGCTTCATGTATCTTGTTTTCCCCCGTATCGTTACCAATCTGATGACCATAGTTGTCCAACAGATTATTGAACCTTCTCAAAACTTCAGCAGCTTCAGCCTTAGCTTCCACAGCTTCCTTGACCCTAATCTCTGCATTATACCTGGCCATAACGGCAGCATTGTGGATCGACTCAGAAGCAATGGTAGCAGCGGCAACCAACTGTTTAGCCAAATGGGGGTTAATTTCAATGGCATTATTAGCATGATTGGGAGTAACACAGAAGAAGGTGAAATTAGGGTTAGAACAAGGAGGGCACAAGTAATCATCGGAGGCGGAAGCAACATCAGGGACACAAGAGAGGTGTGAGATAGAGGGGCATTTTTTGCATAGGAGACGGAGGTGAGGGGGAGGAGGGTTGTGGAGGAAGACATCGAAGCAGGTGGGACAGAAAGAACCGGGGTGGGAGTCCAGTACGCAGGCGGTGCAAAGATGGTGTTGGAGACCTCTGTAGAGGAGAAGGTGGAGGATGAAGGGGCGAGTGGTGAAACATACCGCGCATCGGCGGCCAGAAACACCGTAAGATGGCTGTTCTTCCACCGACTGCGACATCAGAACAAACAATGTTCTCTATCCTATGGCCTGTCGTAAACTCACATTTATTTATACATACTGATAATAGGAAAGTTGTTGAGATTTTAAGTATCCACCCCCCTCCTTTGCTCTCTTGTATTCTCTGCATGCATTTATGACTGTTTGAAATAGATACATATTTCCTCTTTTACTTGGAAATTCTGAAATATCACACAAATTTGGTACTTTTATCTCACCAGCCAATTCTCTTCGCTTTCTCTATCTTGTCCCCTATTGTAGATTCTATCAATAAAAGTATATTCACTAAGAGGTTGTTTGATAGAGTGCATTAGAAAAAATAATGCATGCATTAGCATCGTGTATTACTAGTACCTTGTTTGGTATACTTTTTCAACCTATGTATAACTAATGCAAGTATTAATTATACACTCTATTTGGTATTAAGGTATGTATAACTAATACACTCTTTAGCATAAATAAAGACACAATTGTCCCTCAAAACATTTTCCACATCCTCTCCACCATTTTTTTTTTATAACCGAGAAATCCTTCTATGACCAGCCCTTTGGACCAATCGCAACCTTCTAAACTCGGTGGATAATGGACCCTCCCCTCTACCCTTCTCCACTTAAATACCGGGCTTCGCTTTTACATGGTGTGGGGCTTGAACCTGCGACCTAAGCCACAAATCCTTCACCTTTTGCCACTTGAGCTTTTGTGAAGGATACTTTTTAGAAATTATGCAATGCGTATTATTTTTAATACACCAAACTAAACACTGCATAAGAAATAATCTCATCATAACTAATGCAAGCATTACTAATACATCATATTCAACACTATTCTTAGACACCCTATCAAACGATACCTAAAGGAACAGATTATTTAGTACCCGTTGTTCCCTTTTATGTGACACTCTCTTTTTCACATCTTCTTTTTAGCATGTTTCCAGAATAATGACACTTTTTTATATTTAGAAACAACTTAACTATGAACTTCTTGAAAGGAAATACATAGAGTAAGAAGCCTCTTAAAATTCTCATTGATTTTCCAGTAACGGTTTACCCCGGAAATGATTCATGAATTCAATACTATGAAAATCCAAGTGTGCTTTTATTTTCTTTTGATATGTGAAAATCCCAGATGTTCGTTTTTTCTTGAAAATTGTTCTGTTCACGTGATATTAGAAGTTGAGAAAATACAGAAAGACGGTTTCCCAATGCATTGCTCAAATTACAAAACAACCCAAGATCTTAATTCATAACCACAAGAAAAGTAAATAACTCAACTGCTCATGCTTCAACTACAATATTCCCAACCAAAGAATCAGTGGAAGGTTAAAGTATGTAATTGAAGATTTTCATCTTTGTATTTGTAACTAGATTCAGTAACCATGTTACACTAATGTAGTGTGAGCACATTACTTCTGTAAGTTAGGAGTTTTGTGGATACAATATTTATCTGATAAATCACTTACTAAGAACTGGGTTATTACATACGCAACAGAAGCAAGGCTGACAAACCCTTCAAGGGTAGCAAAATGTTCACTGGTTTCTTCGTAAGCCTAACCTTTATTCTGTATTTCAGGCCTAAGGAATCTATGGATATAATAAAACAGAAATGCATCCAATGGAGCAATGCTAGTCAACCAAAACTCCTGCATCTTTCGCCCCTTCCTATTTTACTTCATCTACCAAAAATTACAACATTGGTCCAAAATGGATATAAAGGACTCCTATAGCTGTCCCAACTATTTGGAATTAAGACCTAGTTGAGTGATTTATTGATATCAAAAGGTAAAATGCATAGAGTACAAACATATGCAAACTCAAGGAGCATCAGATCCCCATGGAACCAAAAAAATAAAGGACAAAATTAGTCACAAAAGAGCAAAAAAAAGTTATCATAAAATGCACAAAGGGCATCAATTTGGGAGTTCTCAGCATCGGTTTTGCTCAAAGCTGCAGTGCAAGTCAGAGTAAACAAACATAGCACTTCCTCGACGAATGTCCACATGCATAAACATAGAACTTGATATGCATATAAGTGTTTGCCAGTTTGTTTACCCAGTTTACCTAATGAGCACTCTAATCAACCTCCCTCTCTCTACGAGATAGGGATAAGGTCTGCCTACACTCTACCCTCCCCCGACCCCAATTTAAGGATTACATTGGGTATGTTGTAGTATCTAATGGTTAGATTGCCAATTAATTTGTCCCCTTGGTTTTACCCCAAAATTTTATTGCATTTTAAATAGATGTTAGTCTAAAAGTCTAAATAAAGTTACTATTTTGACGAAATCTGAAGTTTTTCTTTGATATATTAGTGAGTTTCATGATATACTTTTGATAATACAGAACTCAAAAGAAAGTGAAAAAAGTGGGCGAAAAGTTACCCTTCTAGAAAGTGGACATAATGAGAGGACCAAGATAGGAAGTAGCATAAGTTAATTTAGGTTATAGGAAGTAATAATCTCATAGGACAAAACATTACTCCATGTTAGTTATTATAAGCATCATTAATGAAGTTCTGCTACATCCTAGTATTGCTTGACAGACCTGGATTTAAAGATACAGGTTTCAATTGATTTCAACTGGTTAGATTTGAAATGTTAAGATCACTTGGATAACATTGACAATTTGGAAGATAACATGAAACTTACAACTTAACAGTAGTTGTAAATAGCCCCAGAGTTATGGAACAAAGGATTATCTCGGACCTAGACCGAGTTATTGATGGTGATTTTCTAAAAGCTTATTATATGGTATTAAAACTTTTGTGCCCTATCTAAGCACGGAGTTGGGCCACACAGTCCAAACGAAAGTATGGGCTGCTTGGTCTTTATAATGGGGCAGGCTGCATAAGGCTGGTTTCACAGAACAACGAATAGCTTCCACTCAATGCAGTGGAAGGATACCGGGCTGCCTAATTAATCCACCACTTCTATACACTTGTGGGATCACACTGGGTATGTTGTTGTTGTTGTGGCATACTGCCTACGCTTACCATATGGTGTTTAAACTCTTGTGGCCTTATTTCCTTTTCTAAATTTTCTTTAGGTAATTTTGATAGAAATGTTCAGAATATTGAGTGGGTAACCAATCAGCACAAAATCACCAGAACTCACAAGACATTATCACATGGAAAGCAGAAACAATTACCAATCAAAAGTAGAAGCAAAAGAAGTACAACATTAAGAAGTTGAGTCTTTTTCTACTAAATAAGCAGATACAACATACTGCACACCCAATTCACAATTCACAATTCATATTCTATCATATGAAAATCATTGGGAAACAGTATTTTAGGGCTTTCTTCTGGAATCTGGAGAGGGTAACATATGGCTGGGATTTTTCTGTAAATACTAAACATCAGTCAGTCCGGTGCACTAAGGTTCGAGAAAAACCGCACTACAAGGCTTTATTATACACAAACTTACCCGCAGAGACTGTTTTCAGAACCGGTGATCTCATGGTCATGTACCACAACTTTATCAATTACGCGCCAAGACAAAGTAAAATGGTGAGAGGAAACTGAAAAGGGAGTGAGGGACTTACCCAAACAAAGGAAGCAGAAGAATCGCCAGAGAAGTTGCTCTACTCTGAATCAACGGAGAAGAAGTTTAACAAAAAATGGAATGTTTGAATGAGATGGAACAAATAAACAAAATATATTTCAAGTCTTTACTTCAATCAAATCATATTTCAACTGTTCTTGGATGGGATTTTAGAAAAAGGAGTCATCTTTATGGGTCGGATTTATATATTAAAAAAAGATACAAATATAAAATTTGAATTAAATTATTGCCTTTCGAAAAAAAACTCCCAAGTACAACTGTAACGCTCCCCGCTCCTAGGTGGAGTCACCTTGGTTTTACAATGGTATATTGGTGGTAATTGTGTGACAATGATTACAATTTGATTGGCGATAAATATGATTGATAACAATTATTTGATGATAATCGATAAAGAAACTTTCAATTGAATAATATCTTTAACAATTTATTATATAAAAAAAATTAGAATGATTTTTCTTTATCCACATAGATTCATTAATTAGGTGACCTATACCTTGCCTTACTGTTTTTCCTATTCTATCAAAGAACATCTTAATTTGAAAAAAAAATTGTTTATTCAACCATCAAAAATGAAGATTTAACAAAAACAAGAGCATATTATTAAAGCTTAGGAGTAATGCACGCTCATAGGATATGAAGCTGGAGAAAACACCCTAGTAAAACTACAATCAAGCATTAAATCATCATTGTGCAATCATAAAAAAAATTCAATTAGTGTAACGATATATTTGATGATGACACCATTACCTTATTTTCTCATTTCCTTTCCTTGTCATTTAGAGTTCTTCAAATTGCTGATGGGTCACAATATGTAACGACAAAAAACAATGCATTCATCAAAATAATACAAAACAATACAACACAATACATTTGTACAACAATATGCTACAACCCTCCAAAACAAGCTGTTATAGAAACAATTTGCCAAATACTTTTACAAACTAAATTTGTTATGCCGAAGCACCTATTGCAACTACCAAAATTGTAGGACGAATGTCAACTCTCTAAAGCCTTAACCTTAATAACAAACCTCAGCACACACTAACAACAAAGCTGATGCATTAAACCAACCCAGAAAAAAAAGGACATGTATACAAGATATTCAGTTTAAATACAGCATATGAACACATTAACATGGATTTTTCGGCCTGGGGCTTTTGTATACACTCAACAGTCAACACAGATGATCCTTGGATGAATGTCTTCTGCAGCTTCTGTACAAGGATATGAATTGCCTTACAGCCTCACACCACCTAATAATTATGTAACCACTCTTCAGCTGCAGCACTAGGTGTCTCCCTTTGCCTGCTGCCCACTAAGATGAGACACTACTTTAATGACCATAAAGGTCCTTTTTCCAATAGTTAGAATCCAGTCAAGAAGTCCATTTCACTATGACTGAAAGTTAGAAGCCTAGAAAAACCTCCTCCGCAGATTCCTAGTGGTTGCCTGATATGAACGCATAAGTAGTCCCACCCCAATTCCAACACCAACACACATCCCGAGGCCTATCCCAACACCAACCCTCACTCCTGCGTTGAACCAGGTGAGCTGACCATCTTCACCAGGGTACATGTCGTCTGAATAGAATCCATATCCAGCTTTCTGCTCCACCTCATAATCATCCATATCCTCTGTGGTCTGCTAAAACATGCAGTAATTGTAAGCAAACTAATTGTCATTTCTTAAAACAGGTAAACTAAACTGTCATTTGATCAGCACTCAAAAACTACTTTTTCATGAGGACATAATTATCGATCATTCAACTATGTCGACATCAATTAGTCAAATAAGAAATTGTCATTTGATCAGCAGTCAAAAACTACTTTTTCATGAGGACATAATTATCGATCATTCAACTATGTCGACATCAATTAGTCAAATAAGAAATTGTCATTTGATCAGCAGTCAAAAACTACTTTTTCATGAGGACATAATTATCGATCATTCAACTATGTCGACATCAATTAGTCAATAAGAAATTGTCATTTGATCAGCAGACCAACCCTCACTCCTGCGTTGAACCAGGTGAGCTGACCATCTTCACCAGGGTACATGTCGTCTGAATAGAATCCATATCCAGCTTTCTGCTCCACCTCATAATCATCCATATCCTCTGTGGTCTGCTAAAACATGCAGTAATTGTAAGCAAACTAATTGTCATTTCTTAAAACAGGTAAACTAAACTGTCATTTGATCAGCACTCAAAAACTACTTTTTCATGAGGACATAATTATCGATCATTAAACTATGTCGACATCAATTAGTCAATAAGAAATTAAGGGTACTTAAAACTTAATCGTGAAGGAAGAGACAACCATAAGAAAAAATAACATGAGATGGAATGAGAAGAAAGAGAAACACAGAAGCTCAATTAGAGACTCGGGGAGAGATGAGAATGGAAAAGAAATAGAGAGCGCAAGAGAGAGATGGAAATGAAAAAATCTCTCTCAAATCTAAAGCAGCGTAAATTTTTTAAGTTATAATGTGTTCAGCTTTTAGGATAAGGGACAGATTACTGTCTGCTTATCAAAGGTTCCACTGACAAGCATTTTAGAAGAACATAAGAGGGTCTAGGACAAAACCGTATCCACTTCACAAAATGCTTTTGTAAAGGGAAGACAAACACTAAACGCAGTGTTGATGGCTAATGAAGCGTTTGATTCTAGAGAAAAGTAAGGAGTTATGTCATTTTGTGCAAGTTGGACCACAAAAAGGCCTATGACATGTAAACTAGGAGTTCCCGGACATCATAATAGTGAAGATGGGATGTGGAGTTAGATGGATCAAACATTGTTTTTCTACTGATAGGTACTTAGTCCTTGTGAGGGCAACTTGTGCAGTTTTTTCAGAAGTTCGACAGGGCATAAGCAAGGAGATCCCTTATCTCCCATTTTGCTCATTCTAGTTATAGAGGTATTGAGCATGTAGGTACTTGCCGGGTTCCTCTGGTGCGGTGGTGGAAATAGTGTCATCAAGGTTTCACATCTATTGTTTGTGGATGACACATTGGCTTTTTATGATGTTGACAGGATCCAATTGGAACACCTGCGATATGTGCTTAACATGGTTTTAGGTAGTGTAAAGCTTAAAGATCAACCTTAGAAAATATGGGATCATACCAATTGAAGAGGTGGAGGATATAAAGGTTTTAGCACTGTGTCAATTGTAGAATTAGATCTCTTCCCACCACTTATCGTGGCTTGCCACTAGGTGCTTCAAACAAATATCAAATTTGGAGCTCTTCCCACCACTTAGCTTGGCTTGCCACTAGGTACTTCAAACAAAGATCGAACAAGTTGGAATATGGTACTACAAAGGGTTGAGAAAAAGCTTGCAGGATATCAAAAAAGATACTTGTCCAAAGCGGGGAAAAAGTTTGTATTAAGAGCATGGTATAGAGTATCCCTACTACATGAAAAGACTTCAAAGAAACTTCCTATGGGTTCATCAAACGAGACAAAGAAGTTTCACTTGGTAAGGTGGTAGATCTTCACGACTCGTACTGCTAGGGTGGACATGAGGTTTAAGATCTAAGGGCGTTCAACGAAGCTTTATTGGGTAAATGGTTAGGGAGATTTGGATCCGGAGAACAAGCTTTTTGATAGGAGGGGATAGTGGATAAATAGGGAATCGCTAAAGGGGGATGAAGAACAAAAGTATCACTTTGCCTTATGGATGCGGTTTGTGGAGCAGTACGTAACTGATGGAAAGAATATAGTGCAAATATGTCTTTCAAGGTTTGGGATGGGATGGGATGGAAGGAGGGTTAGTTTTGGGAGCCACAAGTGGTGTATATAAGCATTACTTTCCCAAACATATTCAGAATTTCATGCCCAAAGGAGATGACAATCCAATGGGTTAAAAGTTAAAACTTTACAAATTGGAGAAGTTTTTTTGGGATTTGAGATTCAGGAAGAATTTTTAGGATTGGGAGGTGGTAGAACTCCAAAGTCCAATTAAGTTACTATATAAACAATGTATAACTCAGGATAATCACATCGTATGAAGGTGGGGATGAGGAATAATGGGCTGTTCTGTGTTAATCTTACTATAGAAATTTGTTTTCTTAACCAAAGAATAGCTAATTTCTCTCTATGCTATTACCATCATCTTCCCATTTCAAAAAAACTTGATCTTGGCCGAGTGAAGAGACATGTACTTCTCAAACAAGTATTGTTTGAGCATCTCAAATTCTTGAGTAGTGCTTCACTATTCCATCATTTGTTGTGACACTACACCAAGAAATGTTAAATCCATGTAAAAGTGTCTATATGAGTCGAACGAGTCATCCATGGCATATATCAAACAAGCCACGTGTCCATGTATCTCTGTTCGCACAAAAATACAAGTAACCTAAGAAATATCTTTTAATGCTTTGTAAGCAATCTTCATGATTGTGTCTTCTCACATAATGTTTCCATTTAAGTGCTTATGCAATAAGCATTTCTTAAGGTATTTGACCCCTTACTGCATCACTTTTTGGTCTTAGAGCAGGTGAAACTGAAAGATGTGAGACTGGTCACTTGGACGAAAAAATGCTATCTGATGCTTAACAACATAGACTTGCTCAAACTTGTGGAGGAGGTAGTAGTCAGTGGTGTCGTTTGAAGAAACATAAAGTTAATGCAACAGCTTCTTTCTTTTTTGTCTATGTCAAAAGCGTTGTTCCAAATTAAGTTTGACATTATGGGTGTAAAGCACAAGAGATCCATGTTTTTTGCACATTGAGCACACAAGGTCAAGCCAAGCCTTGTCAATTCATATGTACCTTAAGCTGTTGTTCCCTACTAAAGGTTTGTATAGCTCTACTTTATCTTCATATCAGAAGTGCTACATTACTAAATTTTAGTTTTCTTCATAAGATCTACATCACTAGATTTTAGTCACCCGGGTAAAACACAACAACAATTTAAGACGGAATTATTCCACATTAGTGAAATTACTTGCTACTCCATCTAATGGTGAACCTTCCCACAGCAATAGCATTACTAACTTCATCTAAATAGAGTTATGTTATCCCTCTTTTCTTTATGATCACGGAAAAGGTGGATAAAAGGTATAATTGCATTACCAATGGTTTTATTTGTCGTCCGAATCCATTCGAGCTTCCCTGCTCCTTCGCAACCTCCTCATCCTCTGGAATTGC